ACTCAATTTATACTGGATGATAGCTTAGATGCTGCTCTTCAAAAATATATGGACCCTGCCTCCTTACCTTAAAATACAACAAGAATAAAAAACAAAATAAAAATGGAGCCGTTACTTATGAAACACCCTTTATATGTTTTTTTCTTTCTTTTCTTTTGTCTTAATCCATGTGATCATTTCGATTTATTTTTTTTTTCACATGGTATAGTTTTTTCTCATCTTCTATAACTCATCGTTCTACCGCACTAATCGACGAGCTTGCCCTATTCTTTCCAGGTTCTTATTTTTCTTTACTTTCAGACAAGATTCTTTTCGACAGAAAAGTAAAAAGAATCTTGTGTGAATTTCAAGATGACAAGAATCTCGTCTAATTAATCAGAAATAAAAGAATCAGGCAAGAATCATAAGAAATTCAAGATGTATTTAACGTTCAGACAAGAATCTTTTTCTTTTCTTTTAAAAAGAATCTTGTCTGAAAATTATGAAAAAACAGAAACTGAAAAGAAATATAAGATATTTTTAATTTCTTAGTATTCAGGCAAGATACTTGTGATAGGAAAGAAAAAGATTCTTGCCAGCTTTCCAAGATCAACGGCACGTGATGTCGTCTTTGTATGATAGAATATATAAAGACAATGTTTGAACGTTATTTATTCATTATTAGTTCGATAGGTAGCACAATTCACTTCGAACATGTACTTTTCCTAAAGTGTTTATTTCATTCAAACGACATCTATCAACTCATTATTTCAATTGGAAGTATAGAAAAAGTTTCCATTCGATGTCGAGAAAACAATGGAATATATGATATCTTTTTTTCATTGTTTTCAGAAAAATTACACTTATTAAACACATTTCGATATTTTACTTATCAATATTTTTTTATTTTCTTTTTTTTTAGATTTTCTTTTATTATCCACAAAAGTGTTGTTTTTTTTAATGGACGAAGGAAATCTCAATTCGTTCAAAAAATTGTTGTTTGATAATGCTCTTGGTAATATAGGTAATATTTATATGTACTTTATATCTTTTTGACTCGCATACTATTTTTTTTTAGAGTCATCACCACATACGGATAAACAACGTCGATGGCGTGCTAAAAAAAGAATCAACATCATCGTACTCAATCATCGCCACATCGTTTACTACTTGAACAAATTGTAAATAACTAATTTGATTCGAGCTAGCTCAAAATAAAAATTTTTACACTGTTTTTTTTTAGAATGAATCACATCAATATTCATCTGATATTAATGAAAATTTTGAAAATAATGTTACTGTTGATAATCGAATATTTGATGATAATATGGTTGTTCATAATTCACCTATGGACGATACACATTCTGATGTTACATGTGCTGGTGGTACATTTAATGATGATAAACTTGTTCATGATTCACTTATGGATGATACACATGGTGATGTTTTACGTACTGGTGTTACATTTAATGATGATATACATGGTGATGTTATACGTGCTGATGTTACATTTAATGATGATACACATGGTGATGTTACATGTGCTGGTGGTACATTTAATGATGATACACTTGTTCATGATTCATTTATGGATGATACACATGCTGATGCTACATGTGCTGGTATTACATTTAATGATGATATACACGGTGATGTTGTACGTGCTGGTGTTATATTTAATGATGATATACATGGTGATGTTATACGTGCTGGTGTTACATTTAATGATGATACACATGGTGATGTTACATGTGCTGGTGGTACATTTAATGATGATACACTTGTTCATGATTCATTTATG